TGATTTGATCAACATATCTCAATGTTGAATCCCAATAATATTTATAATCAATTTTTTTTTTTTGTCTTTTTCGTGACCGATAAAGGGATCACAACCCTCGGGGTTGTGTCACCCGCACTGCGCTCAGCCAGTGAGCACACCGGCCATTCCTATATAGGATCCGAACCCGTGGCGGGAGCGTCGCTGCACTCCCAGTGCCGCACTCTCCCAAGTGTGCCACAGGGCCGGCCCTATAATCAATTTTGATTCAATAAAAATTTTTAAAAATTTTAAAAAATTAAAAAACAAAAGACTAAAGCTCAGAGAGGTTAAGAGAACTTTTTTTCTGTCATTTGTCCACCATAACTATGACTTTCTACCATAGCATCTCTACTGAGAAGAGACTCAAAAGATCATTGTGGAATGCAATTTTTAAAAACTCCCTTTAGGGCCGGCCCGGTGGCGCACTCGGTAGAGTGCGGCACTTGGGAGTGCGGCGGCGTTCCCGCCGAGGGTTCGGATCCCACATAGAGACCGGTCTGCTCACTGGTTGAGCGCGGTGCAGGCGTGACACTGAGGGTTGCGATCCTGTTGCCGGTCACGAAAAAAGACAAAAAGGAAAAAAAAAACCTCCCTTTAGCTCAGTGTGGCTGGAGCATGGATTGGGGTGAGATTAGGGGATGGAGGCAGAAGAAGGCAGCAGTAAACTCTGGATGGTAGGTTGGGACTAGACTCAGGAGGGCCCCGAATGACATGCCAAGGAGAGATAGTAGACTTGCTTAGCAGTAGCCAAAATCTGGCAGTGGGGGGCAGTGGAGCTGGGAATTAGCATTTCAGTTTGAAATAAGATGAGATTACAGAGTTTATTATACAAAAGATTTTAGTTGCTTAGAAGAATTCTCAGGTCTGTATTCGGGTTGTATCTGCCCTGTCTCCCTCATCAGAATGGGAACTCATCAAAGTTGGAATTGAGCTTCCCTATTGTAAAGGTGATGCACAAAAATCCAATGATTACACAAATAAATACGTGGGAATTTTTGTAAAGAAGAGGTACAGAACGCTATTAGAACAGATAACAGGGACCCATTCTAGCTGGAAGTGTGCATGGGGGTAAATGAAGGAAGTGATATTAAACTGAAACTTAAAGGATGAAGAACATTTAGCCTGGGGAAGTGGCTGAGCCTTCCAAATGGAAGGAATAAAAGATGCAAATATCCTGAGAAAGGAAAAAACTCCTCCTTCCTGTCCCAATTTCTCTCCCCTGGCCCAGAGACCAGAAAAGTCTCTGAGTATCAGGCCAATTTAGGGGAGCAAGATAGGGGAGAAAGTTTTGGCAGCACAAGTGACCACAGCAAAAATCTGTCTGATGAGTCTTTATATAGTATGTGGAAAAGCCTAGAGGTGGGGGGTTTGCCAGAGCTGGTGGATGCACTTTGACAGCAGCTGGGTGGGGCAGAGAGAATGGAGAAGAAGGTGAGCTTGGGAATTCTGGCTTTATTCTTTTTGAGAAAGGATGAGTGCCTTGTACACAGATGGATGACTCAAACCAGAGGGTGATATGGGTGAGGGGTCCTTACCCAGCCACTCACAGAGCCCCAGAGCCTAAAGCTCAGGAACCCCAATGCTGTCTCACTCCACTCCACCTTGGGACCTTTAACATCCAACCAGCTCTTCCTGAGCACTCACTGTGACCCCAGCCCTCTCCTAGGTGCAGGGATCAATCAGGCCTGGTCCCTCCAAGGAGGAGACAAGCTTGAATAGAAATAATTACTATATAGAATAATTTAGTGCCTAGCTTCAGTCTTCTCATTTGTAAAATGGAGACAGTAATAATATAATCTACTTCAAAGCATTGATGTATTGGGGACCCGGGGTATGGAGCCAGGGACTGGACACCCCTCCCAAAACAAGGCACACCACCAGCGCCTTGGGACCCACCCAGGGACCCAAGGTATGGAGCCCGAGACCAGACCCTCCTCCCACAACCAGGCACACTGCCAGTGCCAAGGAGCATGCCAAAAACATCACCTCCATGTGGGTGGCCCACCACAGCCCCCACAATAACCATGGCTGCCACAAAAGCAGCTAGACACCACAACCACCATGCA